AAAAAAAAAATAGACATTCGAATATCAAGGTTATACCTTGAGGATTTTGAACGTACCTGTCACTTCTCCAGCAGCAAGAAGACCTTTGAATGGCTGATTCATAAACTCATTATGCACCCGAGCCTGAAATCACCACTTCATAACTTTGATAACTTTTGGTGAAAAAGCATTTGACTCTTACATCTTTGTCGATTCTTAATCCGCCCATAGTGTAATGAATGGCGGGGGTGATAATAGCAGCGTAGATAGGTTGATCCGGTAGTATTGCCACCGGGAAGACAGTCTTTCCGAAGGGATCCTTCAAGTACATCGTAACTTCTATAGGATGAATGATGCTGTTTCTACGTACCATATTTGTAAAAACTTATAAACCGTCTACCACAATCAAATGCTCCACTCACTTTTGTAGTTTTGCCTTTCGAACTGCTTTTAACATACTCGCTGTAGTCCACTAACGTCTTCTCCAAAACATCGACTGGAATCCCTGCAGCTGCAGCAAGCTTTTGTGCCGAATCATATTTCTGAAAAGGGAATCAAGCTTTCACCTGAGTTTCTGAAATTACTATCAATTACAAGTAATTAGTCAGTCCAATTATTGGCGCTATTGACTGTATCGTACACCACCTGAAACTTTCCCATACCCTCTCCAACCATTCACTATGTTCATATCAAATACGATCCTCGTCGCTACGCTAATACGCTGACCCCATGATGAAAAGAGCGAATATTCTGAACATAGGCTACTTTCTCCGAACATATGCCCGGCTAGCTCCCTATATTCTTGTCGAGCACATATTTAAGATGACCCCTTTCACATCTCACCTCATTTCCCTTCAAACAACCCTACGGTATAGAGATGTCGAGCACGATAATATTCTTTTTAAAACCCAAGACCCTTCAGACCAGGAACACTGACTCTCATGTAAATATTGAGTTTTTCAAAAGGAATTAGATAAGAGAATAAGGGATAGGGATAAGTGGATAGCAGGGTGTTATTCCAGATAGTTTTGATGCAGTTTAGATGCATAAACCTTTGTTTTCTGATGAACCGGAATGCCTCCAACTACAAAAATATTTTCGGATCATTCATTGTGGCCAGAATTCTCTCTGGTATCAAATAACATTCCAATAATTCGAACTCAGAGCCCAATGATGTCAGCCTAGTTCACTTCGCAATAAAGAGTAACCCCTCACCGTGAAGAATTTCTTGACGTTTGCGTAGAAGCCAAACGCTGGCCTTCCAAATGCATCTGCCGCTTCGTCGTTCATCAGCATTATTGCTGCAGACAGCCCAGCCGACCCTCCCTGAATTGCATCGGCTTCAAAATTGATTAAAATGTATGCCTCCGAAAAGAATTCACCTGGAACTCGTCAATAGGTTCGCATTCTTTCAGAATCCTATCAGTCAAGTAATCTCGTCTACCAAGTTCGTTGGCAAATCGGACACCTTTCGAATTGATCTGTAATTTCGAAAATATTAAAATTCCGCTACAAGAACAATTAGCCAGCGACATAGACACATCAAAAAAATGGTTCGCCGTTTCGATAAGTATTTTTCGAGACTCGTTTGTGGGTCAATTTGTAAGCCAGATGAGGGGGAATGGAGTGTATGACAATGTCTCCATTATTCCTGACCAGTGCATCGCAATGTAAGGATCTCAGGATGAAGACTTGACTGATCCGAAAGGGAATAGACGCTGGATTGATCACTCCATGCACGTGCGGTGTAGCAAGAACGCTTGCTTAACATCATTCTGTTTCTATAAGAAATACGCAAAAAGAACCCATAACGATAAGCAAGTACAACTATAGGAGGGCTTAGTTACACTAATTTTTTCAATAGTGAGGGCAGCTTTCTGTAAAAAAAAAATAACCTGTAGGAGTGTTACCAAATGGCACCGCTATTACTGCGTTAACCCGAAAAAATGCTGAACCAAATCTATCACAACCTAGCCTTCCCTTCCTCGTTGTCCCATTCACGTACAATGGACTCGCATGGTGAATTTAAGCAACTGCTTTAACAATTTTTGGCTCCAGCAAGGCAGAATATGAGTTATGCACACCTTCAAACACAACTAAGTTCGTGAACTCCTTGACACGAGGAATCATTGACCTAGGAGTTTTTAAGATGGAGATAACAAAATACAACTACATTCTTGTTCTTTTTCAAACTGATTTTAATGTTCTAGAATATAGTAACTCACTAGGATAGCGCCTTTGCCCCTGAGTGCTTCAGCGGCAAGGAATTTTGTACCAGCAGATGGATCAGCTGGATCGACGAATGCGGTTGGATGGATCTGCACACGCTCCATGCCAACAACCTAAAGAATGAGATGAAAATAACTGAACACTATTCTATAATCAGCATGGTAGGCCATATACCTGAGCACCCATTGCACGCGCCATTTTGACCCCATCTCCACGAGCGAACGGACCATTTGTAGTTGGAAAACGCAGCTAAAATGGACCTACTGTTGCCAGACTCGACAAATAGATCAAGCAAGCATCATAAATAATCACAGTAGAACTAACCTTGTCACTGGCAAATTCATGCAGCAAACTGGCATCCTCATTTCTGTCAGCGCTGAATCCGCCAGTTGTCAGAATTACTGCTTTCCCGTTTATTTCTTCTTCGGAAAATGGTTATTTAGATACAAAAAATGCACGTTCCATAGCAATATCTGACAAAAAACACCTACTGCGTTTCCCGTCCTGTATGACATTTACTCCATTCACATACGCATTCCATGAAGTAAGTCCTACCACTTTGGTACTCGTAAGAATCGTGACGTCAGCAGGTCTGGCTTTGGCAATTTCCGATAGGCGCTGTTTAGCGGCATTTATTATGCCAAATCCTACCGGAGTAGCACGTCCTTCTTTTGGTGATGGAATCCTAAATAGAGATCCATGAAAGATTTACTAGGACTATAATAAACTCCTCTGATCACTTGAAGGATTTAGGACCCAAAAAACTTGAACTTTCACTGAATCA